AGCTAGCTAATAGCTAGAGAGAAGTGACCTCTGTTATCTCCTTGCTTGGTCGACGCTAGCTACCATACGTATAGAGAGAACTCGACACGCTAGCTAGTGAGCAAATGAAGGAACCATTAAGTACACAAGATCATCATGGTGAACATATACAGAGAGAAGTGTTCGACCTTTATTTCTCCGCGAGATTGGTCGAACAACAAGTTTCCATATATCTATCCGACGCTACTAGCTACATATATACAATATAAGATCTCTTACAAACCCTAACATCTAAGGTCTATTTGAACTTCCACATGGTACTCCCCGTCTTTATTTATGACATGGTCAAGAAAGAATCCCGCCAATTCCTCTTGAATTGCTCGTATGCGATCATGTGGTAGGAGTTCACCCAACATCTCCCACATCTAATTTAAGGAAGTGGGTCAATACATGTATATGAATGAAACTCAACCCAAATGATGGTAATAAAATAAAATTGTGAATATTATTGTTTACGTACATCAAAAATCTTTTTTAGAGTAGCCCACCCCCCCAGATTTCGTCGTGTTGTAGATGAACTCGCAAACGTAGTATCAACAAAAATCATTTCGGGATTCCTGCCACAAGACCTTTACGAGAAATAGAGTTCAATCAAACTGATAATAAAACATGCTTAATGGTTTTGTTGAAACTAGCTAGGATCAATGGGAGATGCGCAGAACTAGCTAGTACTACTTACTTTCGGGTGTGTAAATTATAGCTCCTTCGACAATGCCGGAGCAATGGCGGTGAACTGGTTCCAAACCCTGCCAGACAAAGAGAATAATTACTTGATATCAGGAAATGAACAAAGTTGCCGATATGGTGCGATAACGATCGATTGAACTTACCTCTGGAGCATATCAGTCATGTTCGCATACTCCTTGGGACTTTTTCTTCTAGAGTGCAAGACAATTACTATTCCCGTTTCAAGCTTAATCTCTAGCAAAATAAAGTGAAAGCTGCGCACACATGCATAACCCATCAATTACATTACTATAATTAACCTCGAGTAAGGGAAGCCGAATATACACAAGACAGTTACACTCACTGGAAGTTATAAGGAAAGTGTATTTTATCTTTGTTTTGGTTTTGAATCAACGATTGTAGCAAGTTGTCCCTGGTCCCTTCGACATTGTGTTTGACCGTGTATTCATGTATGATTTTTGGGTTAATCAACCCAATGTCATAGATATCTGCTTTCCTGCATTATATTCGACGATCTTCAACATGCATAATATAGTGAGGATAATTTTATATTCATGCGATGAAAGAGCTAAGCTATATACAAAGACTTAATTACAGAAGTAGTACTTATAGATAGTAGCAAGTCACGAGTGTTTTATTGAGGGCCTTTTGATTGTATAACTGGAATAACTCCTCAAATTCAATATTCAAAATATCCATTCTAATGAGGTCGTGCTCCTCTTTAATTCTCATCGTCAAAGTATGCCTCCCAGACTGCCTGCATCTTTCCATGTACCAGTCATGGAGTCTTTGCATCATCGTTGTTAGACGAGGATGATCAGGATTGACGAGAGGCCTCCCGTACTCGAATATGAATTCGTCCACCTCCATTATTTCAATGGGTACATCATCAGGCAGGTAATCACCAAGATTTGTACCGGGAACCATCCCCGGATGATTAGCGACGATATCGCTAGACACCTTGAGCGAGGGGCACATTTGCTTCGCATGTTCGCCGAGCTGGGGAATTTGTTTCCCACTTCTTCGTGCTGCTAACCTTGCATCACTGCAAGTACTTCCCGACCTCTCCGCTTCCTTATATGCCTTTTTAATAGTGCGCTCATAGTTGGAATCCGGCGGAGGCGGTGGTGGTCCCTTCAGGGCATCGATAGTCCGCTTCAGTTTCACCGGATCTATCTTTTCCTTCGGAGG